CTCTCGCCGACTGGATCTTCGAAGACATCCTCTGTCGATGGGGCGCGCTCAGTGAGATCGTCACCGACAACGGTACGGCGTTCATCAAGGCGGCCGATTACCTTTCAAAGAAGTACCACATCAACCATATTCGAATCAGTGGGTACAATTCGAGGGCGAACGGTCTCGTCGAACGTCCGCACTTCAGCACGCGACAAGCCTTGTTTAAGACAGCCGACGGAGATGAGAAGAAATGGTCCCAAGCTGCGTATTTTGTATTTTGGTCCGAGCGCATCACGACTCGACGACGTATGGGCTGCTCACCCTATTTCGCTGTTACGGGCACCCATCCGCTCATTCCTCTCGACATCGTCGAAGCTACGTATCTGCAACCACCACCGACTTCGATTCTTTCGACGACCGATCTCATCGCCCGAAGAGCCATTGCGCTCCAGAAACGCGTCGAGCAAGTCACCGAACTCCACTCGAAGGTCTACGAAGCACGTCGAACTACAGCAATTCGCTTCGAGAAAGAGCACGAGCACTCAATCCAGGATTTCGACTTCAAGCGCGGAGCCTTAGTGCTCATACGCAACACGAAGATCGAGAAGTCCCTCAACCGCAAGATGCGCCCACAATATCTAGGCCCCCTCATCGTCGTCTCGCGCAACAAAGGCGGCGCGTACATCGTGTGCGAACTCGACGGTACAGTCCTCGATCGACCCATCGCAGCATTTCGCGTCATTCCGTATTTCGCGTGCAAATCCATTCCAATTCCTGAAGATCTCGAAGATGTCTCGACAGAGCGCCTTCGAGAACTCGAACTATCGAATTCTCTAGGCGACGACGACGATGATGAAGTCGAAGAAGCCGAAGAACGCGATGAATAGAGGTTCTTCCCCTTTGTTACTTGTACACCACGATACGTACTTTCTTCTCTCCATTACTGCTCTCACGTTACGCGATATGCTTGATTTCTCTCCTACGTTTTAGACCATCCCGTGTACGAATATCTTCGATTCAACTCGAGTCGCGACATCGTTCGAAGTTCTACGAACACTTCGATTCGACCGTTGCGTGGAGGCTCACCTTAGACGAGTCCTCCTAGGCTGTGATGACAAACTGAGCCTATATTTTCATTAAGCCCATTTTCCCTCGCTACGAACATTTCTATTTCACCTTCTATGTCCTTCGACCATATTACGACTTGCTTCGAACACACTTATTTTCATTTCCTTTTCTTAGTTCTCGCCAGGTTTCGTCTAGGCCAAAGGCCACATTTTCGATTCGACTATCGACGCAATATTCTACGACAGGATTACAACTACGCTACAAGACGACCCGCGCCATCGCCTAGTCATCGTCGACAGCCCCGCGCACGAACCCGATTCCTCCCTTTGCAAGCGCGGCCTTCTCCATCTTTTGGAGGTCGAGGTCCATGTCATGGAGGAGCGCTCGACGGCGAGCGATGAAGGCGCGCTCCTCGCGGATGACGCGAATTATCCCCCGAGATTCGTCGTCGAGGTCGAGCGCATCGAGATCATCCTGTTCAAGGCCAAGGCGGCCGGCCCCATCGAGAGGCAGTCGAAGCAGGGGGCGCGGAGGCTCGTCGACTCGGCGCTTCTTCGAACCACTCGAGTCCGCGACCGAAGGCCCAGGAGAGGTCGGCCGAACTACTAAGACGTCAGCCAAAGCCTAAGACAACAAGAAGAAACAACTTACTGCGCTTTTTTGTGGTTGAACCCCCGCCGCGCGTTTTCTTCGTCTTCCCAAGCACGGATACCTTGTCGAAGTAGCAACCCTGTTGGAACTGCGCGCACCTCTCGCAGGTCGTAGCGTTCTCGACCCAAACACATTTGACCGGGGCCGAGCGGTGGCCGGCGCAACGATCACACTATCGAAGAGTTAGCATCGAACCGCTTCGACGAAGGGTCGAGCTTACCTTCTGACCGGCCTGGCGCTTCTCAAGCGCAGCGGCGGCCATATCGACCTCCGCCATCGCGAACGGACGTTCGAGCGTTCGAGGAGTCTTCTACGAAAGAGAGATTAGTAATCGAAGCACGATAGAAGAGACCACTTACGACTGAAGGGTCGTCCGACAACTCGGCGACCTCCTCGTCGACCCTCGCGCGCCCTTTCCCCTTGTCGAGAAGTTCCTCGGCGGCCTTCGCACGCTTCGCAGCTTCTTCGACGCTGATACGACCTACGAAACCCTAACCCCTAACCTGGGTGCGACCTAAAGGGACTAGAGAGACGGATTATAGTCTTAGTGAGAGGGGAGTTAGCAGCAAGGTGTCCCGCGGTTCGAGTGAACACGAGAAACGCCCTTGGAAAAGGCTACGAACGCTAGGGAAGGTACGAGGTGGCTTCGACACGTCGTCGAAGCTACTCGGAGGCTGTGGGTGGTTAGTGGAGACGATCGAAGCTCGGCAGAGCTCTTCGATGTATCGTAGAGAGAAGAGACACGATTCGATAGGGGGGACTTAACTAGGACGCGGTTCGCAGTTTCTTCGACAATAGTCGAAGTCGAAGGGTTCGTCGAGACGGTATCGACGAGTAAACGCAGTGGACGAGGTTTCGAAGTTACGCAGCAAGGGACGAAGTGACGCAGTTGAAGGCTTAGACGCGGGGCGAACTCGACTTATGAGCTCTGAACTCGAGGGGGGAACCGGATCTTGTATTTTTGGAGAGAAGTACGACAGATTTTATACTACGCATAGGACGCTACGACTATCGAGAGTGGCACACTAGTACAAGGGGCTTTGCATTGTTCCGCACGAAGCTGCCTCACCGAGTGGCACGCATCAAGTCCATCGGTAGAGTGATGTCATGCCGAACGCGGAGATGAAGGGAAGCATGCGAGACACTTCGGACCGGTGTCCGTCGTTGAAGGCATGCCGCGAGGTTCGATACCTAATCGGGAAAGACTGGCTACGTCGGTGTGGCATGGAGCGATGCGTGCGCTTGGCCGAGCGGCGTCCAGTGGCCCTATTGTTCGCCGAATGCGGAAGATGTTCCGAGATCTACGCGTGAGGCATCGGGACGACCGTGCCGAGCTTCGAGTAAGCGTCGCGCACCGTCGAAGATGTCGAAGAGCGTCGAAGGCGAAATCGAACTGTTGTGTGACTGAGTCGAAGTGCCGGGCGGGATGTGATTGCCGAAAAGAGGTGTATCGGGGCCCAGAGGGGCTTGGCGCCTATCAACACGTCGTGCTTCCTCTTCGGCGAGGCGCTTCTGCTCTTCGACCCGTCGTTCGACCTCGGCGTCGATGGCGGTCGCGAGCTCGGGCCAGTCCCCGCGCGCCCACTCGACCCAAGACTCCGACGCCCGCTCGGCGAGCTGCTTGATGGCGGCGGCGACGCGCAGCTCCGTCTCCTCGTCGCGGATGGCGCCCAGGGCCTTGCGATAGGAGAGCTGTTCGAAAACACATGGTTAGTTGGGTTATGCAGATTACAAGCAACTTACGACGAGCGGCGACAAGTCTTGCGCCCACTCTTCGACCACGTCGAGCGCGGCATCGGTGGTCGGCGGAGCCTCGAGGACCACGAGCAGAGAGGCGAGGCGGCAGTTGACAAGCGAAGGTGTCGAGGCAGGGGTGGCGGAGCGAGAGGACATCGTTCGAAGCAGCGAGTATGCGAGGAGGGGCGACGAGGTAGCGAAGAAGGAACGATGGGCTGGGGAAAATGAGGCTAAGTCTACCCTGCTTATAACCCCTTTCCGACCAGCGTTTAGCGCCGACCACGTGGCGTTCGAAGCCTACACGGGTTGCCATGCCGCTTCGATCCGTTCACAACCATCGCGCTTCTCGCATCACGTGGAGGACCGAGGGCGGTCCAAATTTCAATAGGGAGGAGATGATAGGCGCCAAGCCCCTCTGGGCCCCGATACACCTCTTTTCGGCAGTCGCATCCCGCCTGGCACTTCGACTCAGTCACACAACAGTTCGATTTCGCCTTCGACGCTCTTCAACACCTTCGACGGTGCGCGACGCTTACTCGAAGCTCAGCACGGTCGTCCCGATGCCTCGCGCGTAGACCCCGGGACATCTTCCGCATTCGGCGAACAATAGGGCCACTTGACGCCGCTCGGCCAAGCGCACGCATCGCTCCATGCCACACCGACGTAGCCGGTCTTTCCCGATTAGGTATTGAACCTCGCGGCATGCCTTCAACGACGGACACCGGTCCGAAGTGTCTCGCATGCTTCCCTTCATCTCCGCGTTCGGCATGATGTCACTCTACCGATGGACTTGATGCGTGCCACTCGGTGAGGCAGCTTCGTGCGGAACAATGCAAAGCCCCTTGTACTAGTGTGCCACTCTCGATAGTCGTAGCGTCCTATGCGTAGTATAAAATCTGTCGTACTTCTCTCCAAAAATACAAGATCCGGTTCCCCCCTCGAGTTCAGAGCTCATAAGTCGAGTTCGCCCCGCGTCTAAGCCTTCAACTGCGTCACTTCGTCCCTTGCTGCGTAACTTCGAAACCTCGTCCACCGTGTTTACTCGTCGATACCGTCTCGACGAACCCTTCGACTTCGACTATTGTCGAAGAAACTGCGAACCGCGCCCTAGCTAAGTCCACCCTTCGAGTCGTGTCCCTTCCTTCTACGATACATCGAAGAGCTCTGCCGAGCTTCGATCGTCTCCACTAACCACCCACAGCCTCCGAGTAGCTTCGACGACGTGTCGAAGCCACCTCGTACCTTTCCTAGCGTTCGTAGCCTTTTCCGAAGGCGTTTCTCGTGTTCACTCGAACCGCGGGACACCTTGCTGCTAACTCCCCTCTCACTAGACTATAATCCGTCTCTCTAGTCCCTTTAGGTCGCACCCAGGTTAGGGGTTAGGGTTTCGTAGGTCGTATCAGCGGCCTGTTGTTCATTGTGCTCAGGTACTGCTGCTTTGATTTTCCCTAATAGTGCAGGGCCTACATGATTGATGTCAGTAATTGAACATTATATACATTATGGATACGTACCTAATTGACATACTTTGCACCAATTATAATCACCAAAGGTGTCATCAAAGAAATTGCATCAAGATCCCAGGCCCATCTCTTTGGTGCTGGAAGTGAACAGATTTGTAGCTGACCAGCTGTGCTCAATGGCCTTTCCATCAGTTCTGCCAACCTGCTTTGTATAATTGAACAAATAGCCAACTTGACATGCCTGCTGATGTGCAGGCAAGTGGAACTTGGGCATCAGAAAGACAAAAACACATTTTGTGGGATCAAAGATGAAGTTATACCGCACAAATTGAGCCCAGATATTTGTGGACCACTGACATGCAATATCATAAGATACAACAATGTCAGCTGTGGTATGTTTGGCCAGACTAGACCAGAACAGGTAGTTGATGTTGATGTATCTGTAGATGTAGATATTAGCCTGCCCCTGCTGCAAATAGTTATATATCATGACATTATACCTTTCACCTTTTTGAAGGTCACCAACAGAACATGGCCATTTCATGTCATGCTATGTGCATTCAACAGTAATGACACTGCTGGCTGCAGTTCCTGTAGACTTCTTCAGATTTTCTGACTTCACAGTGTTATGGTTATTGCAGGTGCTCTGATCCTCATGGATGAGTGTGTCAAACTTGGCAAGGTGCATTTTGTAATCCTTCTCATCAACAAAATATGTGTAACCTTTGTTGAGGCAGACATCTGTCAAAACCTTCTTATGCTTCAAATGAAAGTTCACGTTGATCACAATGAACAATTGATATAGCCACCTGTTGTATTATAAAATGAGCACAACATATGGAACAGCAACATCTTCTAGACTTACTGTTTATCTGAGAGTGTGTCACACCAGTCTTCCAGTAGATTCTTGCCTGGGTGTGGGCATGCTAGACACAGAACAGCACATTCACCAGCTTTTGTGAATGCAGCACCTTCAGAGGCATGGCCTCATTCTGAACACTTCAGCATCTTAAGATGCCACCATTCTCTAACCATCCTTAAAAACAACTCATAGTGCTCTTGTATCCTGATCAGATATGCTACATTTGAGCAAATCTTTCATACCTTTGTTGGCTTCATACCAGTATTATCTGTGTGTCTGGAGATTGATGTATAGAACTCATACCTGGAAACTTTGGACTGTGTCAATAACAAGTGGAACATCTTTAGAAGGCAGAAGGTGGCAGCAGTTTTTGGGCCTACTGTGGTGGCCGAAAACAGACGAGATCGCAGTAGCTAAATAGTATGTGGTGGCACATTTTCACAGCCGCAAAAGTCAAGGCCTATCCTGAGAATTCCTGTGATGTTGAGGACAATGAAATCATCCTCCCAGGTATGGACTGGGTTGATACAACGACTATCAATGTCATGTCCAAGTTGTACTTGGAGACCATGGTTCTTGAAAGTATTGGGCTGGAAGCAAGACTTGACCCACATCCAATTGAACAGATCAGCACAAATAATTTGCATAAATATACTGGGATGTACCAGAATATGGTGAAAGGGGTTGTGGTGGTGTATGTGGACAGCACAGCCTGAACAATATAGCAACATGTCTTGACAGTCACAGCAACAGTGTCGCGACTTGAGGTCAAGCGACAGGGAAAACCTAAAACAGCTGGGGGCGTTCGACTAGGTCTCACCGAAGCGATGGTGAGCAGCGCTCAAACCTAAGGCTAGGGACAAGATAATATATTAGTGAGTGAAGTAAGAAAGGATACAAGGGAGGGCTTACTGACCTAGGGACAAGAGGTCGAAACTGAGGTCCCTAGGGCAGCAGAGGCCGGCTTATATACAGGGGAAGTTTAGGGGAGGCTGTGCGCACTGGTCCGTGCACAGCTGGTCCGTGCGCAGCATGCTGACGCGGCCCTGGGGGCCGGTGAGTCAGAGAGGCTGTGTCAGCAGAGCCCGAGCTGTGCCGTGCACTGCCGCCCATCTAATCTAATCGTACAGTAGATAGCGACGCGTCCATATCAGGCATGTAGTACAGAGGTCGCGGGTTCGAGCCCGCGAAAAGGAAAAAATTAAAAAACGGCTGGACACCGTACCAACTCGTGACAAACAGATCAGCACAGGACCTGTCCGACATCTTGCACATAATGGTGCAGGAAAGCCACTGTGTTCCTCATGGTGCAGGAGCTTAGCGAGATAGTTGTCCACCTCAGACAACCACATTAGCAATGGCTCATCCTGTATAAACAGCATGAGCTTAAAATGTAGCACTAGATTGAGTACCACAACATACACCTGCAGTCCGGTGGCGGGAAACTGGCTTGTCCTCTTCCAGGCCAAGTTGTGAGATGTATTCCAGATCAAAGGTATCAAAGGCATTTGAGAAAGCAACAGGGCTGTTGAAGGTAATCAGAGGCTCGTTCCAAGGCAATGTAGTTTCAGAGAATGTCACATCTGAGAAACTGTGTGTTGGAATATAGAGTTGTTGCAATGATGTATGCCCATTGCTGGAGTTGAACATGATATGACAGATAACATTGTCAGGGTGTGTATGAGGAATGGGTGTTCATGTTGCCTCATTGTCTGAGTCAGAATCCTCTATGGTCCTGACTGTAGGATGATTGGCACACCACTTTGCTTTTGGCATTGCCAATGGCAAGCAAAACACTACAAGTGCTTGAACACATGAATTATAAGCACAACACACATAGATCATGAAGTTCCTCACATTCTAGGGTGACTGAAGATGTGAAATAATAAGCTTGATTATTGAGAACATTGGCCCAGATGCGATGTCGGAAGCAGTGCATGCAAATAGAGTAATTTGGCTGTCTCAGAAAGGCAAATGAGCTTTTTTGAACCATGCTTATAATAGTATTATTGAATGATAGTGATAATAACATTTGAAATGACACATGGAGAATACACAAATAATGTCCTACACAATAGAACAGAGCAGTTATGGGCTCCAAGAGGTATTGTATTGTTAGATATGAAACATAACTAGCTTAGAATATGACCTACCTTGTCCTGCACTTGTTCTGTCTGAGGGGGGGGGAAACCATGGGGACTGAAAATGTTGCAAATAACAGAGACCTCGAGGCATGATCACAGGTCACCATTTCAAGATCAGAGAAAACAGTGAATAGACAGAGGAAGGAAATAGAGGGGATGTTCAAGATGTGCCTTGATGGCTGAAGAGTGCATTGAAAGGGCAAGAGGTGATTTCATTGTTGGATTGCACTGACACTGCTCCAGGTAGGTTCACGTCATCTGCCAGGTCATGTCAACAGTGATGACCTTTCCTTGGTTCACATTGCCATTTGTTGTTCACAGGTCGCTTTTCTGCATCTTCCTCGTCAGGAGGGGATTCATCTAGAGGGTTATGAGTACTTACTATCATCTGACACACTGTTCTGTGACCAATCATCTCAAAGAGACTGTCTGACAGAGCCATCTGCCTATTGATCATGGAATAATACTGGTGTACAGCTGGCTACACACAAAGAAGAAGGTTAGCTTTAGAGTAGAAAGACTATGACAGACTGAATGCTTCTGGTTGATAACACACCTCCCCTTTCCCAAACATTAATGTGTGCCGTTGCTAGATTGAAGTATCAGATTCTTTAATGGGCAGGAGATAGAGAGTGTCGCACATACCTAACATGCCCACCACAAGTGTGAATCAATGTATTGTGAGACAGTGTTGAGATCTTTGAAGAGGAATAATAGGAAAGCATACCTGAAAATGTAGAGTTTAGGTTATGTTCAAGCTCTGATGGCCAATTCTGGTTAAGGCCTGATCAGCCAATCAGCAAGCAGATAACAGTGCTGCTAACCAGGAATATGGAGACAACAAGATGCACATTAATAGGTGTGTCTTTATGCTAAAATACTGCAGACTAAATGAGTGCATGCCTTGAAGGTATTTTCATCTTTTTGATTAGCATAAGAGGATTTCTTAAAGGTGAGTTCTGATATATACTCCAAACAACGCACCTTGAACTGGGTGCTATAGGTTCAATGCAAGCACTATTGTGATACTTTGGTAGGTCAAGCTCAGTAACTGTAGGTGAGTTACTTGTTCAATCTCTCAGACACTAGACTTCACAATTTTTTTTTGGTCAAACAAATGAACATATTCCTATCAGAGTCTCTAGTCTAAGTACTGCCAAGGCAAATCTGTAAGTGTATATGCATCTTCATAATTGTCTAGACCACTATCCTAGACCTCAACCTCTGCTACAAGAGAGCAAATGATTTTCGCTCCCCATTCAAGGTAAACTTTCCTTCCCATCTGTTTGTCCATTGCACAATCCTGACATGCCTGTCATGCAGAATTCCTTAGGTGGATCTCAGTGCATACTTCCTCCCTCAATTTGTTCCACTTCCCTGACATCCATCTCTCCTTGTGCAGGTCTCCTTCCTCTCTTATTTTGTTCCAGATCTTAGCATTCATCTCTTTCCTGAATGCTCCTGTCTGCTGGCTATCGTCAATTGGGATATAGTTAAAGGGCAGTGCCCATAGTCCAATGTCAGGTGTGTTTTTAGTTGAGCATGACACACGGAAGGGGCACTGAGCTTGCTTAAGAAGTTTCACAGGCATGTCATCATTCGAGAGGTTTTTGAATGGCATCAATTTATGCTGCTGCACAATGTACATGCAATGATTCTGTGCTATCTAAGTGAGCTGGGCCCTATGCAATCAGGTATGTCTATGAGCGTGTTTCAAAGTGCATTGTATAACATACTTTTTAGACTACCGGTATTGTCATTGCTGCTCACACTGAGCCTCATCATGTTCTTCCATAATGAAATACTTTGGCTGGTGTCCCATATGCAGTTGACTGGCAAACAGAGAAGATACAAACCAATATAATCAGGGCACATCTCAGAAAGCGAACTAACTTGTGCGATAAACCTTAAAACTACAATATGTACAAGATATTCAACACCAGGGAAGCAGACACCTGCTCCTATTGCTTTACAGCACAACATACACACTACTGCACTGCCACACCTTGTTGAATATGTCAAGTGCCTCCTGGTACGATCTGCAGTGCTAATAACATGCTCCAGAGATGGCTGAGACATATGGCTGCACAGTGGACCTGCTAACATGATCTAGGCCCATATGATGCATGCAGGATTTATGAAACATACCAGCCAACAAACACCCCCACCATATGCCTACATGTTACCAGGTAGAATCACGACTTCAGGCCATTCAAGGGAGGCAGTGGTGCAATGTGTACTCTGGGCTGGTCAGCAAACTGTAGGGCTGGGGCTATGGGTGGAGGAGGCCCTGCTGATGGAGCAGGAGGGGCAGCAGATGGTGTGGTGACAAAAGCGACTGGCTCAGGAGGATGCACCTTAGGGGGCTCAGCACTGACAGCGTGATCCTCCAGCACAGCAACAACAGTTTGATTGCGCACTTCAACATTAGGTGCTTCCTCCTCGGACGCAATGTGTGGTGCCATTTGAGCAGGTGATACCTGCCTCACGGACAACATGACCAATGCAATAGTGCCCAATATTGCAGCAGCCAAAGCTGCAGATAGATGCACCATGCTTTGTGAGTTGCCATTCTCTATGCATCAAAGTCACAACTGTCTACTGACATATTAAATTGGCACATATGGTTCAAGTCCTCAGCCAAACTGCACAATGTAGTGTTCAAGTGCTCTTCAACAATGTCCTGAAGCATAGCAAGGAGAGGTCTGAGACTGAAGGAGGAGGGTGTGGCTGAGTTCAAACTCACACCATTATTCTTCTCATCTGCTTGCTGTGTCATTGAGCAAAAGGCGAGCATTGAGGAAAGGTATGTCGCTCTGATGCTGCAGCAAGCAAGATATAATACCGGGGCTCACCCATATATGTAGATTCATGTCTAGCAAGCTCAAAGAAGCTTGATGCTTGTCCCGAGCATGCTTGATGAGCATCCTGTCTGCCAATGGTCGCACAAACAACGACACCACATGAACTATTTGAAGTCATCCACTTCTTGGGTCATGTATAACAGCACTAACCTCACGATAGCCCAAAATGTAAGTGCAATCATTGTTCATTGTTCTGCATTATACAATTATGTATTGTTTAGACCTCATGGCACCTCAGTGACATACAACTGACAAGCAACATGACTTTCTCATGGCTCAGTTTCCAGTCTTTCTAGACCACCAGAAAACCTCCATGGTCGGGGACTTCTGGAACATTGTTCTGTTTGTATGGTTCAAGTCATGGCCAGAAGAGAAAGCCTTGTTCGGTCAAGACCATGGAGAGCTGTCACTTGATCAATGTGTGCAGGTCGACAAGGTGCGCAATGTACATAAGAAGGTAGGCAAGCTATAAATCAAGAATGATCAACTGCTGATTCCAGATTAGAAAATCAAGAACTGGTTCAACAATGAGGTTGTTAAGGGCCACCACACGCAATCTATAAAGTCAATGGAGGCTGTTTTTGCTAGTCTTCTACACCCAAAGGGGACATGTGCTAAACAATGGTCAGAAATCTTCTCCAATCTGTACTATGATAAGAAGATCATGCCTGTTGTTCAAGCTGAAGTGGCAGCACATGTGAAGGAGCCCATGCATGCTGAGATGATCAAGATTATCCATACTAAGACTCACCCGGTCTTCAAAGAAGCTGAGGACAATATCAAGGAGGAAGTTGAGGTCATCTATCAGGCAGGACTGGCCTTTGTGTGCCTGCAGTGCCTGCAAAGGTGCACTGGATCAGAAGAGCCAGTCCCTCAGCCAACACTAGCTGAATACTAAGTGTAAGCCATTACTCACGTTGTCTAATGAAACTCAGCTAATATGGTTTTTTTTGCAGGGTACAGGATTGTCTCTTGGCATTTCTTAAATACACCTTCAACACGGTTGCTCATCTCATGGGCTGGCATGGGACAGTGATCTTTGGTGGACCATCACCAAAAGCAGGCAGCAAGCTGGAGTCAATGTCATAAGTATCTTGCTCTTGTTTGACAAATATCCTGGCTCATTTCCTGGTCAGCTTTCTTGTTGGCAAAACACCAAGTGGTGTAAACTTCGGTCAATCTTATGAGCAGTGGGAAGCCATCCTTGCCAACTATGCAGGTTATCTGAAGGAGGCATTTCATAAGTTCCCAATCTAGTACATACATTGCTACATTTCCTGAAATATGTAACACTCATTTTAGCTAAAGACCTACACCAAGCTTTCATTCAGGGCAATGCAGGGCCATCTTTGCCTCCAGATCCAAATCAAGCACCTGTACTGCCACCTGGGGGCTCACCACCCACTTCCGCAAAAACACCAACTTTCCAGTCAGGGTCTTCTTCACCCCTGGATCCAAATGAAGCACCTATATCAGTACCTGGAAGTTCACCATGCACTTCTGTGGAGGTACCAACTTCTCAATCAGCTTGTCTAGATGTTAGGACACCTTCTCAATCTGCGCAACTAGAGATGTCCACCCCTTCTGCAGCCAAACAAGCAGGTGTGGAGACAGCAGCATTCAATCAGCACATTCCAATCACTCCTACTGTGTCAACCACATTGTTCTCATCAGTTCCAGGTGGCAAAGATGTTGCAGATGCTATCTGGTTGTCGTAGCCATCAAGCCCATGCAGAACAAGTCATGAAGGCATCTCGCTAGTGCAGGAACTACAGAACTCACTCACAGACTGTCAGTTGGTCATTCACTACTGGAGTCTTTCTATGAACCTCATGAACATCGATTGGGCAGTGGTGGGTGCAATGGCAAAAATCATAAGCTCTGAGCAAAACATTCCAGGCTCCCGAACTACAGTCCCTGCCTTCTTTGCAATCAGGCACCACTGCTGTACCACCAACCATTTGCTTTGGTCCATCTTGCACAACATTGGTGCCTGATGTACATCTGATCTTGCTGCCTGACATGCATCCAGACTTGTCACCTGACATGTGTCCTAACTCATTGCCTGACCTACACTCATACACATGTGATGTGGTCACTGCCCCCCCATGGTTGGTGGTCCTGCCGCCACATACACCACCATTGCAGACCTCACATATCACCACACTTGACTTTCTACTATATTCCACAGCGAGCACACTACCTACTGGCATTGATATGTGTACTCCATCACTGCCACCTGTACCTCCTAGGACCACCTTTGTCTGACCACCTACATGACAATTGTCAAAAGTGCCCTTACTGCCTGCAACTGCATTTGCATGACAACCTCCATCCACAATACCTCAGTCGTCAATCAGTTCAGCCTACAAGGAGAAAGCAGATCATACAGTCTCTTTTGGTGCAGAGCATGCCTCCCCAGCTTCACCTTAGGAATCACGTCATCAGGCACTGTACGAGCAGCCTATGAATCCTAACCAAATAGTGGAGTTGAGCCAGCCTGCATCACCTGATCAATCAACTGATCCTCAAGACAATCTCAATGTGAATGAAAGCCTGAATGTGAGAGAGAAAACAGCTTCACCAGTCAGCACATGGCCACCTCAAGTCCGTCGGGCACCCCTCCCTGCTGACACTGATTGGACAACAACCATGTGTCAAAAATCTGGAGCATTGAGCGTGGAGAGAGACCTACAAAACAGTGCTAATGAAAATCAACAGAGTGTTGATTGTTTCTGACAAAAGTGTGTAAGTTCTGCTGGAAATAAGTACATATGATGCTTCTTCACCATTGATGCCTTGCTTATTGTATATAGCAGTGGAAAATCCAGAAAGAAGAGATGTACATGAACAAATGCAAAAGGTTGTTCTTTTTCTTGAATTGGGGGATGTCATTGGTCATTCTCCACAGATATTTTCTTGTCATGCGATTGTATATTGTAATTATTACTTCTTGGGATGAAATACTATGTTTTCTATCATAACTACATGAGATTGTATTGGCTGTTGTATGACGGTGAGCTTACAATGACGGGAGCATCACCATCATACATATGATGGTTTCAAATGGAAGGGCGGGATTTTTAAAAATACATGTGCTTCTTCTGTACATTATATATGATGGACCTCAAATGCTAATTGGGAGGCATGTATGATGGTGGCATCATGTGGAGCAGGCTCAATGTATAACAGCTGAAGAATCCATGATGTATGAGCTCAGCCGGAATGGGCAGTCTCTCTCAAAGTGGGCACATCATGTATGGTAATCACAGTTATATTCTGAAAATCTGGCTTGCTTTACTGTACATAATCATCCCTTATAATTCTACCCTACCTCATGCTAACACTTTCTTCTTCACCTTTGGCTCAGTCAGACACACAGCATGTATTATTTGACATAGGGTGTCACCCTCCACTAGTAGCAGGTATAAACTAGATATAGAAGTAATACAAATAAGGATTAAAATGGGGAATCTGGTTATGTATGAGCTGCGCCAGAATGGGCAGTGTTTCTCCAAGCATGTAATGTATGGTGCACCTCAAATACTCATGAGATCATGTATAAAAGCCACACATGATGGCACTGAGCTGAAGAGGTGGTTGTATAATGACAATGGATGGCATCAGGCCTGAAATATGATTATGTATGAGATGCACCAGAATGGGCAGCATATTTTAAAATGGTGGGCACATTATGTATAATGCACCTCAAATACTCGCAAAAATCATGTATGAGGGCCACACATGATGGTGCCAGACTGGAGAGGTGGTTGTATAATTATGACAGGCAGCTGGCACATCATACATGGTGCACCTCAAATGCTGAACAGCCCTATCCATGTATCACATAGGAGTGCTAGTCAGCCTGTATCATATATGAGTATGCCAGGGTCTTGTGGTAGAGCAGACATACACTGGCATGTTGGTATGCCAGGCCTTGACAGTCTTGGTGCCATACTCTGTGATGAGTAGTTTGGAGATCTGAGAGAAGTGTCATACACATTTAGATTGATGTGCTGCAGAGAGACCTACATAGTAGCCCCAATCATCACCCTGTATGACTGAATGGGGACTACATTAGTGTGCACATGGTTCCAGTGAATGGTGCACACATACTGTACTCATTGTATCCGAGCACAAGCATCAGCTTGTTTGCAACCTACCATATGGATGTGTCATTGCATCCTCTCATGGCTCCATTCAGATGTAGTACTTGCCACCCTTAGCTGGCTGTGGCACATGACATTGATAGCCCAGCCATCAATGTATGTACAGAACAAGTGCCTAGGCAACAATCAGGTGCTTCTGACTTGTTTTGTATTGTGCGAAGTCCAGGGGCCTGTGACCATTGTTATATCGAGAGTTGCCTCTCCTTGTGGTTTTGTTTCCTCCAAGGAGGGCTGTTCTTTGCACTTACACAAAGAACAGCCCTCTTGCTTGTCAGACTGTCTTGCACCTGACATCATTGACTCAGTGTGTACAGTGCACTTTGCCCCATTGTCAAGCGCACTCACTTCCAGGTTTTGTACCTCTTTTGCCCTGCCCTTACCCCTGCTGATGTCCTCACTAGAGCCCAATTCTTCGCCTGTGGTCGATGGAAAGGATGTCGACAGTGCACAGGTAATTGTGCATGATGACTGTCCTGACTTGATCTCTGCATGTCATGAGTTGCTATGTCACAGACTATTTTTCTTTTTTCTTTTTCTTTTTCTTTTTCCCCTTTCCTGGGTTCGAACCAGTGACCTTGCTGTGTGGGGAAGCACTTGACATGGACAAGTCACACTGCCTCAATCAATTAGATTAGATGGCTGTGTGGTATAGCCCGGCATAGCACGAGCACTGCTTATGCAGCCTCTCTGACTCACTGGGCCACTGCCTTAGCAGCTGTGACACAGCAATGCTGCACACAGACCAGCTGTGCATGGACTGGTGTGCACAGCCAGCCCTGAACCCTTTGTGTATATAAACCTGCCTCTGTTGCTCTGGGGACCTCAGTTTCGACCTCTTGTCCCTAGATCAGTAAGCCCCTGTACATACTTACTTTCCTATGCTAACTTACTTGTCCATAGCCTTAGGTTTGAGCATGCTCACCATCACTTCGGTCAACCCAGTCAAACACCCCCAGCTTTTAGGTTTGTTCATTCCTTGTCACTGGACCCTAAGTCACGACACTGCATCTCTTTGCACCCTGCAGCAGTGTATGTCTCTTGAGTGTGCTGTTTCTTGCCACCTCCCACCAGCGGCCCATCTTCAGGAGTGTGTGAACAAGAACCACACTGTCAATGGTGTTTTGGCTCAATTTGCATGCATTTTGTGCCATCTGCTCACAATACCTCTTATTAGTCATTCTCATCCATCTTGTGTGAAGATCCAGCTTACCACAATCCTCCGCTAATGGTCAGATCACCTCTAGCTAATGTGGCTCTTGTCATTACTGTCACTGTGAGGTACAGGTACAATGCCAGTCAACACAAACTCGGGCATAACCTCCACATCAGAAGAACACCAACTTTGCTTGTGGGCACTTGTGATCACTTGTATCACACTTGCCCAACTCTACAAGTGAACAAGTGACTAACAAGCAAAATTGTTGACTTGTGGGCTTGTGGCAAGCACACAAGTGCTAACAAACAATGGCCAATCTGATAACAGACTTCCCATGACCTTGCACTTGTGATCACTTGTTGATACTTGTGTACTTGTCACAAGCCCACAAGCCAATGATTTTGCTTGTTAGTCACTTGTTCACTTGTAGAGTTGGGCAAGTGTGATACAAGTGATCACAAGTGCCCACAAGCAAAGTTGGTGTTCTTCTGATGCATCCCAGTCAACAGGCTACAGTCAACAGACACAAGTAATGTCAATTGCTGATATTTCACAGGCATCAACATGCAGACACTAACCTCCCATCACAGTCAGTCAAAGTTGGCAATAGTCCACTTGATATATCAGAGTATGGTCGGCAGAGTGTATAATAGGCAGTGGCAGCACCTATGGGCATAAGAACAGCATAGTTGCAACACCCACAGGCAATTGGATGCAACTATATATATATGGCTGGCAGTAATGGTCAAAACGGATCTGTACATGTTTGTGTGTCCAGGAAGAATATGCTTCTGATCAAAATTTCTGAAACAAATCATTATGGGCTCATCAAATCAGGACATGGCCTGGCCGGTCATAGATACATTGTCCTGCGTGATGTGTCCTGTTGTGTATTCTTATAGTGTTCAAATTTACACGAGTGCCCAGAGTTACTAACAGTAACAGTGCTTGTGTGCTTATGTTTTGATGTCTGTTTCTTGCTCATTGCTCTCCTCAACAATCAGTCAGTCACAACTCAATAGATTTGAGTACTTTGTTAATATCCGTGTATTGACCCACACTCCATACAAGTAATCTCATCTTGTTCAATATCTTTAGTGTTGCCTGGTCACTCATATACAATGAGATGCACCCCACAAATAGCCCAGTAGGGTGTGTTACTGCACCACATCAACAGCCATCTCTACCTGTCTGCCTTGACTGAGACCACACATGGCCACCAACCAACATCCTTGCGATGCGGTGTCACAGGTCGACCCGGAGAACACCCGCACATTGGCATGTTTCTTTTGCTTACCACCAGGCATGCAATTTGTTTTTGATTGGACAATGGGCAGCAGATAATACATGCCCCGTCACCTTGTTTTGCTTGCATCAGCTTCCCCACCCCACATCTCTTTCTGTTGAATTTTCAGTGTTTGTGATAAATATATTCATATATCATAATTGACACATCTTCACGCACATGCACACAGTCCTCTCGCAGCCATGGCATGGTGAAGGGCTTATCTGAGCAGTAACATGTGGTGCTGTCTTGCCCGTCTTTGCTTGCTGACTGGTGACCTTTGTTCATTCGGGTACACTGCCACTCCTAGAGTGCGATAGGAGCATGCCCAAACAGTATGTTGTTATTGCCTCTCTCACATGCTGACTGATCTGTTTCCAGTAGAGTCCATCCCGATTAGCACTTCATATGTCATTGTTGATACTTGAGCCATCTTGTAGCGGCAATATGCCAAGGCCAGTTTGCGGAGTGCTGTGGGTGTCAGAACATTGACTATGCACATACTTTGTCCTATAGTAGTCGTAATGGCAAGCAAGCAGTGTTCATTATGATGGACATACCAGCATGGAGTCCCCGCCGCATGAATGTTGTGAGACAATGGAGATGCGCATTGCGGGCAAGTCATGCAATGACGCACTAACCGGACATCATCCCCAGGTGAGATCTTGTCAGTGCAACAACACATGTAATTTCGAGGCATAAACATACTGCTTCACCTGTAGGTGGACAGTGCAGCCAGGTGGGCTGTGCTTGTCTCCTAATGGTGGCATTTCCACAGCGGCATGATGGAGATGGAGACGACCCTAGGGATGCCAGGAAAAAAACTCACCCAGGCACCAAATCAAATGCGTATTTGATGCGTTGAGGGTGTGCTCCGCTGTCGCTGCACTACAATCCTCGCTTGGCTGCCCGTCGTCTCATCAGGCATTTGCATGACACGTCCACGCATGCACATCTTGATCTGCACATCTTTTTCTTTTCTTGTCTCTTCTCACTGCAACCTAAGCTGACCGGTCACATTTCCTCGAGATGATGTTTTGCTACAATGCCACATGCTCCAACCGGTGTGCGCTGCAGAGGCGGACACGACAACATGCAAGACCGCAGTCAGTTTCCATCTTCTTGCATTGCGCCTGCACGCTGATCCCATCTGATTCCCAGCTTGAGTTGCATTCTGCATGGGGCTGCCAGTTGTCTATGTTTTGGTGCATCATCTGTGTCTTGCAGCAGGCCAGCACACTGACCACCTCCAGAACCTGCCCCTGCCAATGCCATCATGGGGAGTATCAGGTGTCGGGTACAGAGCATGCGGGGCAAAGCTTACCATACTTAGCATGTTCCATAGCACATTCTGCGGCAGGGGTGCCCGCGGCTGGCGTGCTTCCCATCTTGGCCCTGGCTACACAGTGCTGCCACTGCGAACATGCAAGCTGCTCAGATCTCCGTGCACCAACAATGCAAGTGTTAGGAACAAGCCCTCGGTTGATTAGTGATGGAGGGGGGGAGACGCGGACTGTTTCTGTACATCGCATGTCTGGCAACATTTTCCGTGTGGGGCCTGCGCAAGAGCATGCGGTGTGTGGTGTGCGATGGCCAAGTGGTGCGTCATTGAGCTACGAGTCCGATATGGGTCTTTGGCTGTGTCCTTTGTGTATTGCCCACCACCAGAGTGTGTTGCACGGTGGGCGATCCAGATGGGCAGCACACGAGCTCTGGTGCGTGTGCGACACTGTCCTTTTGGTGTTCTATTTTGCGGATATGGTGCATGAAGTTGCAGGAGAGCGACCGGGCAGCAGGGGACTGAGAGGAGCGACAACAGCACGTCAACTGTGTGCCATGGTTACAGACCGGGGAGACTGCACATGGGCGTGGTGGAATGTCCAGCTCGGCAGACATCACCATGCATGGATGGAAGATGGCGGATGCCACATCCGCGGCCGTCGCGCTACAGCACACCCTGATGCGACGCACACCGGGTGTCCTCTGGCCTATCACACTGGTCTTGGCTACACTGGCCACAGTCCATTGGCCTGCTGGTGTCACAACCAGGCAGGGCGAAGCTGGGCATCAGAGTGTCAATATGAACAGGGTGCACATCATGAACACCTGCATGCAGTTGTGGAATACTGCAGCTTGGGCCAGCGTGATGGGCCAGGAGCGTGCAGATAGGCAGGGCTGGTCCACCGCGCAGTAAAAGCAGCAAACGACAGAGATGTTTAGATGAGCAAGGGGGTGTGCACGCACAACATGTCCGCCGGTCAAGGGAATGACGAGCAGGGCCCCGCACGTGCAGAACAGGGAGCCGGTCACCAGGTGGGACAATGCGGAGGTGCGGAAGTGGCTACCGTGCGAGAGGCAGGCTGAGATGAGCTAGAGATAGTCTTTGCGAGCCGACTACGGTTGCCGACCTGTACCAGGTCTACTTTTGGAATCTGGACTTGGCACCTTTCGACCCCGGATCATGATCTGGTCTGGATCTGACCTTTGGGATGTTCTGTGTATCACATGAGCCTCTCCTTTTGTCCACGTCATTCAAACCTTCGTGTTTGACAGTCTTGCTCCTTGTGTTTTGGTATGTCGTCAAACAAAAATAATGATCATAACTACTATAATTGCAATCCCAACAGAAATAACCAATACACCCACTGCCATGAGTTCTCACTGATCTGACTTGTTTAACTCGAGTATTTGACCTGTTGTTGTCAGCTCCACCTAACTGCCCTGTTGTCGAACAACTGTTGCGACAGTATCACAAGTGCAACATATGCAGTCGGGTGACATTGAGCAACATATTCCGGGATAAGTATGGCATTCTAATAAGGTAAGCCTTCCTTTATTATTCATACCTCTTGCTAATAGATATGATGTCGAACATTGATATAGTCCAACCAATATAGACCGATGTCAGAAGAAGCTGAACCTACGTGGCAGTAAGGTCATGACCCGGAGCCTGTCCAATGTGCAAAAGCGCCAGCTTGTGCTAGATCAACTGGCGAAGGACCCAACACATTGTCAAGGCCCACAAATAATCAAAGAAGGAATCTTATTTGATACCAGCTTGAATTTTACACAGTAAGTACTTGAATTATGTCTCTATGGTGACGTGATGCTACATACATCCTAGTGACTACATTACAAGCGAGATGCATATCCATGATGCTGAAGGCTTCGCACTACGGCGGCCAACTGCATGTAAGGTTCATCGGGAAGCATTAGTTGCCCTTGAACCTCATCATGAGTGGAGCGGTGACAGCCATGACAAGCTCAGTGCGATCGGATTTCTGATATGGGGTGTATGGGATAAATGGTTGGGCAAGTGGCTTGGGCTTTGGGTTGTTCTGAACAATCACCACAAGGACACGATTGTATTTCTTTATCTTCATTTGATACGGGGACTCTCTGGTAAGTATGTTCATACTGTCACATCTACCTACAGCTGTTAATATGCAGTAGGTATGCCTATACAGATGATTACAGACTGCGGCAGCGAGACAACTTCACTACATGGATTCGCAAATGCTTTACAGTTTGTAAAGTGTTTGTATTAGATAACAACACACATAACTGATTCAAAGCTGGAAGCTTATGCACCTCACTTACCACTTGACGAACTTCCCGCTGATACGACCTACGAAACCCTAACCCCTAACCTGGGTGCGACCTAAAGGGACTAGAGAGACGGATTATAGTCTTAGTGAGAGGGGAGTTAGCAGCAAGGTGTCCCGCGGTTCGAGTGAACACGAGAAACGCCTTCGGAAAAGGCTACGAACGCTAGGAAAGGTACGAGGTGGCTTCGACACGTCGTCGAAGCTACTCGGAGGCTGTGGGTGGTTAGTGGAGACGATCGAAGCTCGGCAGAGCTCTTCGATGTATCGTAGAAGGAAGGGACACGATTCGATAGGGTGGACTTAGCTAGGGCGCGGTTCGCAGTTTCTTCGACAATAGTCGAAGTCGAAGGGTTCGTCGAGACGGTATCGACGAGTAAACGCAGTGGACGAGGTTTCGAGGTTACGCAGCGAGAGACGAAGTGACGCAGTTGAAGGATTAGACGCGGGGCGAACTCGACTTATGAGCTCTGAACTCGAGGGGGGAACCGGATCTTGTATTTTTGGAGAGAAGTACGACAGAATTTATACTACACAGGACACTACGACTATCGACAGTGGCACACTGGTACAAGGGGCTTTGCATTGTTCCTCAAGAAGCTGCCTCACCGAGGGGCACATATCAAGTCCATCGGTAGAGTGACGTCATGCCGAACGCGGAGATGAAGAGAAACATGCGAGATACTTCGGACCGGTGTCCGTCGTTGAAGGCATGTCGCGAGGTTCGATACCTAATCGGGAAAGACCGGCTACGTCGGTGTGGCTTGGAGCGATGCGCGCGCTTGGCCGAGCGGCGTCAAGTGGCCCTATTGTTCGCCAAATGCGGAAGATGTCCCGGGATCTACGCGCGAGGCATCGGGACGACCGTGCCGAGCTTCAAGTAAGCGTCGCGCACCGTCGAAGGTGTTGAAGAGCGTCGAAGGCGAAATCGAAGTGTTGGGAGACTGAGTCGAAGTGCCGGGCGGGATGCGACTGCCGAAAAGAGGTGAATTGGGGCCCAGAGGGGCTTGGCGCCTATCATCTCCTCCCTATTGAAATTTGGACCGCCCTCGGTCCTCCACGTGATGCAAGAAGCGCGATGGTTGTGAACGGATCGAAGCGGCATGACAACCCGCGTCGGTTTCGAACACCACGTGGCCGGCGCTAAACGCTGGTCGGAA